GGTTTTGATTTTTCTTGAGTTTTTAATGGCAGTGGTAGTTATTTTTCAGGTACCAAACCCAGTATTCCCTTGGGAATTTTCTGTAAGGGTGGTTGTGTGGTAGTGAACTCCCACAGTTTTTGTTTGTCTGAGAAATATACTATTTGCCCTTCGTTTCAGAAAGATAACCTTGTGGGGTAAAGTATTCTCGGCTGGAAATCTCTTTTTTAGTATTTTGAATATATCATCCCATTCCTTTCTGGCTTTTAGGGTTTGTGATGAAAAGTCTGACGTTAGTCTGATTGGGGCTCCCTTATAGGTGATTTCATGCTTCTCTCGTGCAGCTTTTCAGATTCTCTCTTTGTCTTTGAGTTTTGCCAAGTTGACTATAACAGGTCTTGGAGAAGACCTTTTTGGGTTGAATACAGTTGGGGATCTTTGAGCTTCATAAATCTGAAGATCTGTGTCTTTTTCTATACCTGGGAAGTTTTCAGCCACTATTTTGTTGAATATGTTTTCAATGCAATCTCCTTTTCCCTCCCCTTTTGGAATACTCGTGACTCAGATTTTTGAGCACTTAAGGTTGTCTGATATCTCTCTTAGATTTTCTTCAATATTTTTAATTCCTTTTCCTATTTTTTGTCTGCCTGTGTTATTTCAAACAGCCCATCTTAGAGGTCAGAAGCTTTCTCTTCTGCTTCTGCAAGCCTGCTGATTAAACTCTCTGTTGTGTTTTTTATTTTGTTGAATGAATTCTTCAGCTTGGCAAGCTCTGCTACATTCCTTTTCAGGGCATTGATTTCCTTGTACATTTCTTCTTTCAGGTCCTGTATACTTCATTTCATCATGTTGTCTAGCTGAGTTTTCTTGTATCTCATTTAGTTTCCTTAGAATTATCACTTGAAATTCCTTGTTGGACATTTCAACGGCTTCTTGTTCTGTAGGATCTGGAGCTTGAGAGTTATTACTCTTTGGTGGTGTACTTTCTTGATTTTTCATATTTCTGGTAACTTTTCTTTGATTTTTAGTCATTGTGGCAAGGGATTTCATGGTCCACTGATTCAACACTATTTTCTGGCTAGGATGCTGCTGGGGCTGCCAGTTTGACACAGCTGCCTCAGTGTCTGCTCATCATCCACTGGTACTGCAGGGCACATGGTCTCTGCAGATCTTGGGCCTCTCCAGTGGGACATCTCTCTGGTCGGTGTGCACTCTGCCAGGCTGGGGATGGGGTCCAGCAGTGGCAAGGCCTACCTGCTCGGTTGTGTGCTGGCACTGTGGGGCACATGGTCTCCACAGATCTCAGGCCTCTCTGGCAGGGCACCTCTCTGGTCAGTGCACACTTGGCCAGGCTGGGGATGGAGTCTGGCGGCAGCGAGGCCTACCTGCTTGGTTGTGCGCTGGCACTGCGAGGCGCATGGTCTCCACGGATCTTGGGCCTCTCTGATGGGGTGCCTCCCTGGTCGTCAGTTACTTTCAAATAAAAGCATAACTCATACATGATCTCAGTTAATCCTTAGTAACCCTGTGCCCTGTGAGGTAGGTGTTATTATCACTCCCATTTCAAAAATGAGAGAACTTAAGCTCAGAGAGTATAACTTGCTCAAGGTCACACAGCTAGAAATTGGTGGAGCCCAATCTAAAACTTAGCAGTATCTGGATCCAAGGTCCATCTTCACCCTTTTGTGAACATCTCTGTGACAACTGATCAAACTGAGAAAGGATGTGACCATCCCTCAGATCTGAAGGGAATAGTAGCCTGTGGGTAGCTAAAGAGTTGTATATATATATACCAGAAGAGCCGCCCTCAAGAAGCCCACTGTCCCCTTACTTGGTGTAGCGGGTTGAATGATGGCCCCCAAAATATAAGTCCATGTCCTAATTGCGTTTCAGCAAATATGACCTTATGTGGGAAAAAGGTCTTTGCAGACATCATTAAGGATCTTGAGATGGAGAGATTACCGTAGGGTATTTGGGTGGGCCCTAAATCCAATGGCAAGTGTCCTTATAAGAGTCACATAAGGGAGATCTGACGGACAGAAGAGGAGAAGGCTGTGTGACCAGGAGGCAGAGACTGGAGTGATGCAGCCATGAGCCAAGGAACCCATGAGGGCATGGCAGCCTGGAAGGGGCAAGAAAGAAATCTCCCCTAGATCCTTTGGACAGAGCATGGCCCTGCCAACACCTTGACTTTGAACTTTTGGTCTCCAGATCTATGAGGGAATAAATTCTGTTGTTTTATGACACCAAGTTTATGGTAATTTGTTACAGGAGCCTCAGGAAACAAATACACCTAGAATCCTTCTTTTTTATTCTAAAAACACTTCTCTTTCTCATGTAAAGGTAAGCGATATACCTTTCTTTTGTTACGTTGCATATATTCCTCGTGGTAAATTTCTATTAGAAGCCTTTATACTTTAAGGACAGGGTGTAAACTACTTCCTTAGTAGAGGCTGAGGCACCTAGAGACATGAATGAGCTTTTTTCTGGGAAGAAGGCCCATCGCCATTATATCTTCAATAGGGTCTCAATAGACTTCAAGAAACTAAGAATTTCTAAGCGGGAGCCTGGGTAAAAGGGAGAATGAGAGCAGCTGAACTCTAAGAGAATTGAGAACAAAGAACATGAAAAATACAAAGACATTCAATTTCAAATATTCAGAAGCAGGAAGAACCTGGTGTGTCTGGTCAGAAGGCTTAAAAATCCATGTCCTTGGAAATAAGCTTTCATTTCCTTATAAGCGAAGGTCAGGAAACAGAAGTTACGGAAGGTTTTGCAAAGGCAACTACAGAGGGCAAACTCCGTGCAGCTCAGAGTCTGAACAAAAGGAAATGCTCTTTCTGGATAAAGTGTAAAAGAGGTGAGAAAATTTCAAATTTCTGTAGCTGAAAGCTGCAGGTGATTGAAAATGGTAAATTTTGTTTCAATGACAAATAAAATGCTATCGAAAAAGACTTATTTCTATTATATCATGATAGAAAAAAGGGAAAGAAAATATGTTTCTAAAAATAAGGAATGGTATGAATTTAAGTATGACTCAAAAGGAAAAGGAATAGGATATATTTTCTGAGTCTGTCACTACGAAAAGTTATGAGATGAAATTTAGAGGATAAGAAACAAGTCTTGGCCAGAATCTTGGCTGCCAAAATCACAAGCCCCAAATGATAGGCTTGCTCCATTGAATTCCGTGCAAACTGCCTCCCAAGCAGTGCATGGGCTTAATATCACCTGCATTAATTCTTCCACGAAGTACCTGAGATAGGGCTGGGGTAAGGACAGGGAGAGAGAGGAAGCGAGAGTGCTGTGAAGGCAGCTCTGCTTCCCAGAGAGTTGGAACAGAATCCCTGTAGCTTTCCATAGCAAGTGTTTTGATATAAATTACCTCCCAGATTTTTACAGTTCAGATTCTCCTGCCCTTCTGCCAAGTTGAATGGGGCAGGTGAAACTCAAAGCTGGTTTTCAGCACACATTTTACAATTCTAACCACAAGAAAACATCCTTCACAAGAAAACATCCTTCCTTTCAAGGAACCTGGTCCTTGAAAATTTCAGACTACAGACTTTTCCTGCCACACACCTGGGATGGAACATCCAATTGCTCATGTGCAATTCATTATGGTAAATGTCTCAAGAGTTCAAGAGAAGCAAAATGCATATACATAGAAAATGGGCCACAATTTTCATCTCAGGATTCTGCTCTAACATGGGTTTCTTCTCTGAAACAAATACAGTATTTCTAAAACTTCCATGAACAGGAACACCACCTAAGAAAGGCCTAATTAAATTTTTTGTTTTTTGTTTTTTTTAAGGAAAAGTCATGTTAGACTCCTCTTGGAACAGAATTATCAAATTACCCAGAGGAATAAAATGTACCAGCCATTTGGCCATGCAAGTTACATGATGTAGAAGCACATTTTGCAATGTATTTAATGTAGCACAGAACTTTTCTTATCAAATTATTTCACCTCTCTTATCCCACGTTCTTTCCAAGCAGGCACCAGCTCGTGAAGGGCCTGCATCTTGTAGGGTGGGCTGCTCGCAAGACCACCCATGTCTCACCTGACCCACAGAGGCCAGTGATGACTTTTAATGTGGATATGATAACACATGAAATTTACTACATTCAACAAAAATTATACAGAAATTTCTAAGTGTAAGGCAAAAAGAGCACTTTACAAACGTTAACTCATTTAATCCCTCAAATAGAGGTAGGTTCTATTTTTGCCTCCATTTTACAGATGAGGAAACTTGTCATATATCCAGTAAGAGGTGGAGCCAGGATTTAAATTAGTTGTGTGATTAACCACTACACCATGCTAGCTAAAGTAGTAGTAGAATAAGGGTGAATGAAGCAGTATTATCGAATAATACTAAGTGCTTATATGTAAGCATTTCTAAAAATGCAGATTTTAGTTTTTAAAAAATAAATGGAGATTTTAAAAACGGAGGAAGGTTATCTAGAATGTTCCTGTACATTTTTCATCATGGGTTTCTAAAACAGTAATTTATGAAGCTTTATGGTATGTATATGAAGGTAGTGTTAGTCAACTGATATAAAGGTAATCACCCCTTAAATCTGTATGCATCTTTAAATCATCAATTATGTATTTTTTCTGTTATTATAAAAGGAATAAATTTTCATATTTGAAATATTCAGAAAAGTATATGGTAGAAAAATAAAAATCAGTCATAATCCCATCATTCAGAATTCTTCATTGCTGATATTTTCATGTATATACTCTCTAGTCTTCTTTCCATATGTATATTAATCCATCTGTGCATTGACTTAACACTTATTAAATGTGTCTTTTCGTGTCAAAGAAATGCATTATTCAAAGAAAAACAAGTTATGCTTTTTTTTAGTGCCCCCATGTGTACTAAAGATTCTCTAAGAGTTATAAAAGCCATAAAACCATTAAGATCACGAAAGTACTATCAGAGTAAGAAAATACTACCAACGATACATATGCTACAGCATTCTTAAAAATTCAGATACTCAGTCAATTAAAGTCACAATGATGATATTTTTCAATATGCTTTTATTACATTTTCTACATTACCCAGAAGCATCAGTAGGATGAAAACAATATTTGCTTCTTAAACTTGTGCACAAATTAATTGATGTAACACCCCCATTAATTCACGATTATTTCCCGAATGCATTGATTTGAAAGATTCTATGAGATAGGAAAGCACAAGATGACCAAAAAGAAATATTGATTTATGATTGTTCTAATACTACTCAGCATTTTAAAACTATAGCTACAAATCATTTTATAATTACTAATAAGGTAATCCACAAAATGCCTCTCTGATCAAGATGTGGAAGAAATAAATTATTTCACATGGGAGGAAAACAAACACTACAGATCAGTATACCAGGCTGAAAGCTTGCACGGCTACCCGCTACAATTCCCAGCATCACAAATGGCTTAAGGAATTCCTCAGCTGAAAGTGGACTCCTATTGGTGGCCACAATGTCATAGCTTTGAAGACAGCCTCCTCTTGACTGTACCAGTAATTTTGCCGTATGGATTGTCTACTGGCAGCAGGACCTGTAGAAAAACCACATGGTAACTCCAGAAATATTAAAATAACCCTCTCCTTTCTATGAATCAATATTAAAATAACTTGTTAAACAGGAAAATGCATGTGCCCTACAGTAATGTCACTTCAAGTGAGGTAATACCCTATTTTTCTGGCAATAGTTGAGAGATGAGTTGATTTTCCAGAAAATTAAAGAGTTTTTGAAAAATTTAATCATTGAGATATAAATGTTTCTAAAATGCATTACGTATCCCTCCTTTTTAAATTGAGTGTAGTGAACACAATTTGATCTTTTCTTGATGACTCACTTTAGACATCAATCATTGTCTAACGCTATAATACTGTCATGCCCTCAGGAGTGTCTGAGGTCCCCAGGGTTGCTGGTACGATGCTAAATAGCTCCAGACAGCTGTACTTTTAGAGTTCTTCCATCTTCCCACCCTGTCAGTTGTTACTTCTCTGTTGTTGTCAGTGTGTCCAACTTCCTGCTTCTCATGTATTGCTTTCACTTTGTATAAACCTGCTGGTGAGGGTCCTAGAGCAGCTCTAGTCACCCCCAAAGTGCAGACACAGACATGGGGACAGCTTATTCAGCCACTCAGGTGCCTTTATGCAGAGCCCTGACCCAAAGGAACTCAGGTCTTCCTGCCTTCAGGGCCCTAGCTGGGCTCCAGGAGGGAGCTGTGAGCCTGACTTCTTAGAGGGAGGAACACTACGGCCTCAACCCTCCAACCCCCAACCCTGCCAGCAAGCCCACGAGCTGGGATCAGTGCAGGCCTGAGGCATCAGGGGGCCCTGAGGAGACCCTTCTCTCTCTGCCTGGGGTCCTGAGCTAAGCACAGCTATAGTCATGACATCTGACCCTTTTTCTGTTTAGGGCTCATTTGTTTTGCCTCTGGTGGACATAGCCAGGATTACTTTCAGGTCCCCCTCCTGTCCTTTAGCTTTACATCCTAATTAGTGGCATTCTGGTGGTCACCGTCCTTTCCTTCCTCTGAAGTAAATTGTGGTGCCCCTCCTTTCAGCTGAATGAACAGTACACGGGACCAGCATTGCTTTTCTCTGCAACTTGGGACTCTAGATCACCTATACAGGGCACCTAAGCATGACCCTTGTTCCCCAGCACCACCCCTGACTCAACCTGCAGCTGATGGTGCTGCAAAGCCCCATGGAGTCCACTGACATTACCTGCAGAACAGAAACAAGGTATCTGGCTAGACGGACAATGAGACTCTTAAGTCAGCAGGCCCAGTGGGACCTTCTGGGGACTCCCTCATTGTGGAGTCCACTGACATTACCTGCAGAACAGAAACAAGGTATCTGGCCAGACGGACAATGAGACTCTTAAGTCAGCAGGCCCAGTGGGACCTTCTGGGGACTCCCTCATTAGCCTTCACCCATCAAAGGATAAGATTCTATGGCAGCAGAGTCATGATCACACAGGGTCCTTCCCTATCTCATCCCCTGCACAGACTAAAAGGAGTTACCCCAAATGGTGTCTTTAAAATTCTAGGAACCTGTGGGAGTATGGATCAAGTTGAGAAATCCTATCATTTTGAAAGTGGTCCAAGAGGGAGGGACAGTTCTGTTCTCCCAGGAACTGAGCACACAGGCTACCAGTCAGGACTTCGGGCAGTCTAGTCAGACACACTGAGTGACAGTCTAACCTTCTGTTATAGCTAAAAACAAATTAGGGTAAGCGCCTTTTCCAAAACAAAGGTCTCCTTCCAAAAAATGATTTTCCTCTTCTTGCCTTCTGTGATTGCAATTAGAAACACAAATACTCTTTAATCTTTTCTTGTGTGTACTATATGCTACTGAATTGACTACTTAATCAAAAGTTAGAGACGATGGAACAAAATGAAAACAGAATCTCTTTTTCTCCTCACTGCCTCATGATGGAAGAACAATGCAGCCGCAACCTGGTGTGGCACTTTTCAGAGAAGTGGACTTCAGAGCTGTTTCCTTGGGCACACTTTGTTCCTTCTTTGTTTTTACCTCTCTGCAACTTCCAACCCTCTTCTATAATCATTCATCTACTTCTAGGGTACTGCAGCCTCAGGCACTGAAAGGCCCAGAGTCTAAGAGGGCTCTCATCAGTGGCAACTACAAATATTCCCCAAAGCAATAGCTATTTTGAGTTTAGCCAGTGATATTATTATCACAGGTTTATAAGGAGATGTAAAGGGGATGGGGCAGAGATGTGTTTTAAATATTTTTAAAGTGCTCTTACCTCTTGCTTGTTGATCAGTCCCAGTTTGGACATGTTTATGTTAAAGTAGTGAATGTTTGGCAGGCTGACTTCCATATCTTCTATCTGGAATCCACAATAGCATGTATCACATTGGGCAACTGTGAGTCTCTGTCACTCCACCCACCCTCACCCCACTTACCTGCTAACCCGTTACTCGAGTTCAAGCTCTGTCTTTGAGACACCCTCTGAAGTTCATCCACTGCCCGACACTGTTCTCTCCAGCTAGTCCTATTATTATATGAGAGGCCCACTCTTCTCCCTAGGGGTATAATATCTGCTTCTCTGACAAGTAAGGGCTCCTTGGATCAGAAACCTGGGAGACCTCTTCTGCATCCACCTAGCTTCCAGATACTAGCAAGTCAACTTCTTAAATTCCTCCTCATTCTATTCCCTACTGTCCAGGCCTGTCCCTAACATTTACAGGCCCTGGGGTAAGAGACCCACATACCAGATCTACAAAGATTTAAAAGTTATAAATCATAAGCTAAAAAACTTTTAAGTGAAATATGTTCTAGTCTTCTCACTTGACAACTATACCTTCATAACAACCTGGGAGGCCAGGTTTTAATTTAAAATTCTTGGACTCCCCGGAGTGCTGTGCCAGGACATGACAGCATGGAAAGGGCCAGCCCCCAGCCCCTGGCCCATCCCACCTTCCCTCTTGAGCTCACACGGTGGACACTCCAACTAGCATGTCAAGCCCCATCCACACCTGCAAGTACCTGCCCCTCTGCCCACTCTCAGGCCTAAGGGTGTGCACATCAATAGCACAATCTGCCCAGCAGAGGACAGATCTCAGGCAGAGGTTTGCTCAGGTTCTGGAAGTAGTCTCAGGTTGATGTGAGCAGGACATTCTGAGTGATACATGGGCCCCTGAAGGGTTTGTTGCCTTGGCCCCACTGACTCCTCACCCAGTGCAGGGAGGCGTAACCAGACGAAGGCCTGAAGGGGGCCTCTCAAGTGCTGGTCATGGCAGGAGTCCCTGTTGCCCAGGTCTAAACGTGTTATCTTCCTCTCCGTCCCCACTGTGGCCTTGGCCCAAGATCTCCTTGCCAGGTTTCCACAATAGTATCCCGACAGGTCTCCTTGTTTGTGGGCCATCATCCTTTTAATTCGTAACACTTCTGTCAGAGGGATCTTTCTAAAGTGCAAATCTAGTCACAGACACCCTGCTTAAACTCCACAGTGCTCCTAAGAGCTTTCAGGATAAAGTACAGACTTTATAAATAAGCCCACGGAGGCCTCTTGACTGATTCCTGCCTCATCTCTAGGCACATGGGAAGACTCGTTCCTAGAGCTTCACGTGCGGTAGACCCTCAACAGTAAATGACTGTACCGTGCTATCTCCTGTCTCCACACCTACCCTGCTCCCTTACCCTTGACTATAAATCTAGATAACCTCTAACTGTCCCTAAAGACTCAACTCAAATACCTCTCCCTCCAGAAAATCTGGCCGGCCCTGTCTCCTCTACCTGAGTTAGGTGCTTTCCTCTATATTTCCATAATACTCTATTCTCTATTGTACTGTTAGTTTCATTATTTTCTTCACTCACTGAATAATGAGCTCTTTGAGCACGGGGACCATGTCTAATTTATCTTTGTATCCTTTGTGTGCTGCTAGAGACATACTAACCATTCAATAATATTAAATAAATGGAGAAATGAATGGATGGGTAGATGGACGGGCGGATGGATGGATGGATGGATGGATGGATGGATGGATGGATGGATGGATGGATGGATGGATGGATGGATGGATGGATGGATGGATGGATGGATGGATGGATGGATGGATGGATGGATGGATGGATGGATGGATGGATGGATGGATGGATGGATGGATGGATGGATGGATGGATGGATGGATGGATGGATGGATGGATGGATGGATGGATGGATGGATGGATGGATGGAATCTCTCTACATTTATTTATCTTTCATCCTCTAGCTCCCCTGAAACATAGAACCTCTGTCTAATTACCTCTCCCTTAAGGCATTCAAATGTCTTAAATATTAGGCTTACGTCAGAGGCAGGTTGAAGGAACTCAAAGAATTTTCAACAAAACGAGAGAACTACAGCAGTGGCCTGTGTTTTCAGGTTGAACAGATTTTTCCGTTTTGCTCTCTTCTCACTTTCTATAACAAGCTTTTGAACAACAGATGTCACTTTTCATGTGTCTTCCACTTTCTTATTTTAACTCTCAACTCTTTCTCAGAGCTGTCAGGACAAGTCCTCTCAATCCTCAAAATGGCAAATAACAAGACATACCTCAGGAACCCGGCGCAGGGAGAGCACCTGGATGTCATAGAGGGTCTTCTGGATAGAGGGCGAGTACTCGCCTTTGTCATAGGGCCCAGCAAATTTATCCAGGATGATGTCCCGAACAGTGTCCCTAAAACACAGAGAAAGGAACTGAGGACTCGCATAGGATGGTATTTTAGGAATGCATTATAAAGCTAAGAAGTAGGGACCTTTCTGTCTCAGAGAAAACAATTTTACTGATGGTTTTAGAAGAGCCAATATCTTCTAATGCAAAAAGGAAGAAGAAACACCTCACTTCCCATTCCTCCCACACACACCCCTACCATTCCACAAACATGTCGAGCATCATGAAGCTGTCTTCATAGTTTGGCACCAGGGCCAAATGAGCATTTCGGGGTAAATCTCCTGTCATGTTTTGAAAAATCTACAAAGAGGACTCCCAAGTACTCTAACCTTCTTACTGCTCTGCTTCGCTGGTTCCTTGAATTGTTACATAAGGGATTTTACTCTGTGCCAGACTCTCTGCTAAGCATTTTATGTGATTATATCATTGAATTCTGTCAATCTAGCAGAAGTAGGTACTATTATTATCCCCAAATTAGAGGGATGAATCTGAGCTTAAAAGTTAGATGGGGAGCTCCCCCAGAGGGCCTCAGCCCCACCCCCCTCCACTTTCTCCCCCTCCCCCCACTGCTCTGCAACAACATCTTAGAATGTAAAAATAATAATAATAATAATAAAAAGTTAGATAGTCTGCACTAAGTCCCTCTCTGTAGTGGGAGCCCCAGACTACTATCCTGATTGGCACATTCAATTTTGTGCTCTTTTCAACATAAATACATCAGGTTGCTGCCCATGGGGAACACTTGGAAGTCTGCACTAAGTCCCTCTCTGTAGTGGGAGCCCCAGACTACTATCCTGATTGGCACGTTCAATTTTGTGCTCTTTTCAACATAAATACATCAGGTTGCTGCCCATGGGGAACACTTGGAAGAAAAAAGGAAAAAGAGGACTGAGGTAAGGTTCTCTTCAAGCATTTTAAAGCCTATCAAATAATAAAAAGAACGGAGAAAAACTATACCAGTGGGAGGAAGTTGGTGGGGAGGGAGTTGTGTGCAGATTCCAGCTCATCTTAGGGTAGAAATTTCTAATAATTAGAGCTTCAGAGAAGGAATGAAATACCTAGTCAAAAAGCAAGCTCTGGGAGTTCGGAGTCCTAATTAGTCCTTGTCAAGGATATTATAATAATCATACCTTTATATTTTTAAAGAATTTATCTTTAATATGATTCCATGAATATCATATCATTTTGACTTTAGCCTAGGGTGACCAATTGTCCCAGTTTGCCTGGGACCAAGGGGTATCCTGAGACATGGGACTTTCGGTGTTAAAGCCAGGAAAGTCCCTGGCAAGCTGGGACAGGTTGGTCACCCTAGGTTAGCCCTCTCTGCATCGCTATGAGATAGTAAGGCCACATAATATCTTCACTCAATGCAATGGTTCTTAAAGGCATCAGCATTACCTGGGAGTATGTTAGAAATGCAAATTCTCAGGCCCCATCTCAGACCTACCAAATCAGAACCTCTGGTATAGGTCCAGTGATCTTCATTTTAAGCCCTCAGGTGACTCCGATGCACACTAATGTTTTCAAACCAATTATTTAATAATTAAAAAATAGAAGGGATTTCGGAACGGTCAGGGGGAGTTGAGTTGAACAGCCTTTAACTCTCCTTTTCAGAATCTAAGACCCCATGAACACTGAGACCCAGGGAAGAGGGCAGACTCTACCTGCCCCAGTGCCAGGTCCTGGCACACACTCATACCAGGTAGCCTCAAAGTCCACGTTCTTGCACTGGTGGTAGCGCCACTTGCAGTACACTTGGGTCACAAGGCACCGGTCCTTCACATCAGAGAGGGTGGTGTACTGGTCCCTCATGAATCCTTCAAATCCAGACTGGGTAGTCTTCATAACCTTGAGGTCTTTGATTCCAGAATGAATGATGGGAGGTCCTGTTTCAAGTAGAAAGGTAGTAGGAGATGAAGCCATAAACAAAGCAGTGCCTTCTTACTGATACCCAGCACTGAGGATCTTGGTCATTAAAACATGGCACACTCTGTTAGTACGAAAAATACATTACTGCCCATATATTCTGTCATCCTGTCTTCTCTGAAGTCCAAGTGTTGAGGACAGTGTACCTTTCCTTCTCTCTGGACTCCATGACTCCCTGCCCTCTCCTGCCCTAGGAAAACTGAAGGTCTGAGAATAAACCCCCATATTCTTTTGAAGGTCACAGAAATGAACACCTTCCTTTTAATTACATGCTGGGATGTCTTCTCAGCCAAATGACCTTACACTTTTCAGCTCCACCTCATTCAGTCATGCTGAAATGAGTGAAAAAGCTCCTCAAGAGCAGTTCCTTTATCTGCTACTGTGACCCCTTTACTGGGGGCAGTCCTCGTGTTGATCATCTGCACAGGTAGATGACTCCAGTTGCCACTGGACCATGATGGTGATTCCAGTCCCCGATGGACCAGACAACATCATGAACTGGTAGCAGGGTGGGCCTGGCTGAGCCTAAACAAAGACTGGGAGGATGACTCACATGGCATAGATCTGCTTAAGTTGATATCCATAAAGGCTTTTGTTTTTTGGCTGAAGGAGAAGGGATGAAGTTGGTTCTTGGGTACCTGGGGGAGACAGGGGAGAGCTAGAAACAGTGGAGGGGATCATTTGGCTCTCCTTCTGACCCTGCTGTCCCCACATAAGGTAGTGGAGCAGGGAGAGGGGTGACAGGCATAATGTGAAGAAGCTGTTGACTGTGTGCCGAAGCAGTTCTAGCTCAGGTCCAGGTGACAGGCGTAGCACAGAGTTAAGGAGGGGAAGATTCTCCCTTTGTCTTTCTATATGGAACGTGCTATAGTTCCAGCAGTTTAGTGAAGCCTGAAGAGAACATGGCGCCAGATGACACACTGGAAAACCCCAGGGTATAATGCTCTGGGGATAGTAGCGTTCTTCCCAAGGAGCAGTGACAACTGACACAGCAAATGCTGGCAGAGCTGAGGAGGCAGCAGTTGTACCCAAAGGGTGTAAACTTCTTCCTAAGCACATGTGAGACAGCACTTCGAGGCTGTCAGAAGGTGGGAGAGTTTGGCTGGAGAGGTCTAGCAGTTTTCTAGTGAGAAAGCTGTAAGACCAAGAAAAGTCAGGAATTAACATTACCACAACCTTATTTGTATGCACAGGCTGGTGAGGACAGGAGACATTCCGGGAGCACTTGGCAAACCCCCAATAGTCAAGTGGCATGGCAGGAATATTAAGGTCACCTCTTTTCAGTCTGTAAGTTAATCCTGACTAATAGCTGTCCTTCTTGGCCTGTCTAATCTAAAATTCAAGGGCTAGAGGTATCAGGCATCACTACATATATGGTCTTAGATGAAGAACAAGAATGTAATTCATGGGCCGGCCCGGTGGCGCACTGCTACAGTGCGCCGCTTGGGAGCGCGGCAGCGCTCCCGCCGAGGGGTCGGATCCCACACACAGACCGGCCGCTCACTGGCTGAGCGAGGTGCGGACGCAACACCAAGGGTTGCGATCCCGTTGCCGGTCCCGGTCCGGTATGGGCGCGACACCTCAGGTTGCGATCCGTTGCCGGTCACGAAAAAAGACAAAAAGGAAAAAAAAAAAGAATGTAATTCATGAGCATCAATTAAAATCCAGGGAATCTCTTAAAAATCCAATGGTTTACATCACCTATGTGGTCTCAATTGCTTCGATTAACTCAGGAGCTGTGGAGTTTCAGAACAGGTATGTAATGACTATATTTTGATATTTTCTGTGGTATCTGTTTGCACCTACCAGAAAGAGCAATAGCCAGTGGTTAGTGGTAGATCTGCTGATTAAATATGTTCTGATTAAATAAGGTGTTCTGTGCAGTGTTCCAGGAAAATGTGGTAAAACAGAAAATAATAATTGTTTAACTTTCTGAAATTCTCTAAGTCTGAAGAAGGAGCAAGAGAAAGACACCAGCGATGCCTTAATGCCTTCAGTTGGCTGGGTGTATCAGATTCTAAATGTATACAGACATGGTCCCACAAAATCAGCATTTCCAAATGCAGTGAGTCTAAGTCTCAAACCCAAGAGAACTGCAGAAGCAATCAATAAGTATCTGTCGAATGAATAAGTGTGAGATTGACTCATGTCACGGAAAAACAGGTATCTCACAACTTAGCTGTTTTCTCTTCTAGACAGTTCACCTTCATCAATCTTTACCATTTCCCTTCCTGAACCCCTCCATCTCTCACACACAGAGTGGCTGGGGGAGCGAGAAGGCATCAACACTGGCCAAGAACCTCCCATCTGTAGGCATGCCTTTGGTGGCTGCCTTTCTGAGTTTTTATCTTACTTAATCCTCTATAAGGTAGGTATTGTTATGCAGATAACTTAATCACCTGAACATAGGCACATGGCTAGAAACTGGCAGAGGTGGAATTTAAACTCAGCAGCGCATCATGAGAGTTCATGCTTTTCTTCCTATTTTTTGGATCACTCTCCATCTATGCAATGTTTCCTCCTTCCTTTAAGCTCTTTCCCTGTTTCTATACTATGAGGCTTTTCCAGAAGATGGGAAGGTTGCCACCTCCCATTCCACAGTGTGTTTTAAGGGCCTCAGAGTCCCTAGCCTGGAAAATACCACTTCCATTGTGTAAAGTGGAGATTAAAGCATCGCTTTTAGAAATGGCTCCTGTATACTTAAAAAACCTTTTATTCCTTAAAAATTTCTTATTGAAATACAAAGATCCCTTAAAGGAATGACCCCTTAAGCCTTTGCAAGCTAATATTGTAATCTACTTCCAAAGGTAATGCCTTCTAGAAAACAAAATCCTACAGAAATAAAACATGGGTTTGCAATCAGGAGGGGGGTTAAAAACGAGTAGTACAAATTTTTGAAGGAGAATAAAAAAAAGGAAAAGAGAACCAAAGGCAAACTTTACCTACTTCATTTCCTATACAGCTGGCTTGATTGCCAGCATCCACAGAATCCAATCAAAGTTTGGCTCCTCCAGTGGCCTCAATCAGAAGATGATTTCTGGATGCAGTGTTGCATAGTGAAGCCACAGCTCTGGAGTTCAGATTCCCTGAATTAAATCTCAGTGCTCTCTCTGCCTCCCTAACCCCCCTTTTTATGAGCACTATGCCCTTATGGAAATTACTGAACCTCTTTGTACCTTGGTTTTGTCATTTGTAAAATGTCGATGATAATCATACCTATTTTCCTCGAGCTGATACATGTCTAAGATAATGCACATAAAGGACCTGGTAGAATGGCTGCCCTACAGGAAATGATCTATAAAAGTTACCATGATTATTTTGCCATAATTGCCTTTTTCTTATCAACTTCGACCACCTGTAAATATCTCCCATGTTTCACAAGGGCTCACTGGGTCTGAAAACTACTTCTGATGTGCTGTCCTATCCACCTCCAGTCCTGGGATGAAATCTATTGACCTTAGGGAGTGTCAGTCCTGCCAGGCCATCCTGAAATGATCTACTTTCTCATTAGACTCTGAAAATGGAGAAAGCGGTTGTATTTTTAAATATGTTTTGGCATCACTTTCACATAATAAAATATCTCATGTTCCCAAAGACAATATTGCCAGTTTTGGCAGAATGCAAACCATTCACTCTCGGTGCTCTCATCATTCTATGAACAACAGCAACAAAAACTATTCTCTTTGAACATTAAAAGAAGTTTTTGCTTGGCACACATGAGACATGTTGGATGAAATCAGAGAGCTTATTTTATCTTCTCTGTTGGCGGTGCCCCAGCTTTCTGAACTGGTAAGAACCTGAGGCTTTCAAATGCATGGGCCCATCAACTAAAAATATGATTCCTCATACACTCTAAAAAAGATTCCAATTAGACTAACAAGAAGTAATTCAGCCAAAAAGACTGTCCTCTTCTAGGTTATTTCCCATAAAACCACTTAATCAGCTTTTTTCTTTTCTTTTCTTTTTTTGCTTTTTTGCCATAGTTATGGAGTAATGCAAAAGAAAGCTTTTTCACATTTTATTTTGCTAGAACATAATCTTTTCTAGCTTTTAGTGTCCTCCTACACACTTAAAAGATTGTGGTTTATCTCTCAGAGAAGCACACATCCTACCCTTTAGCTCTCTAAGGGAAAGAAGCTCACTGCAAATTAATAGAAAATAAGCCCAATTCCTTACCTACGCACCAGGTGTCACAAAGCACAAAGCTTTAGTGAGCCAAGAAAAAAATCTTGTCATAAGAGGATAATTGCTTCCATGTTTAACACCTCCAAAAAGGACACAAGTAGCTGAAAAGAGGATATTTTAAAACTATATTAAATCATTCTAGTAGAAAAGCTCAAACTTGTAAAGTGCTAGAAAAAGTGAAGATCAATTAAATATCATTTGCCTTGGAGAGTCCATTTAGCTCATGCAGGGAGAGTGATGGCCCCCTCCATGCAATTCTAGATGGGGAGAGATGACATTATCTACATGGCAGGAAGTTAACTGGCCTTTTGTACAACTAGGTGATTTGAAAAGACCTTGTTCCTGCCAAGAACTGTTCTTATGGAGGAACTGAGGAACACTTTAGTTTTGATATCAAAAGGACATAAACAGCGTTCTTGGCTGTGGCCATCTCTGTCCTGGGTCTCCCACTTCCCCCATCTCACCTCTTCCATCTGCCCAGCTTGTCACTTCTTAAATATGTTTTCCCCCAAATTTCGACGTCATCAGCCCTCTTCCTTAAAACCATCCTCCTACCCCCACTAGCTTTCTCGTTAATAGATATTTTAGGTGGGTTTTTTGTTTTTCTCGCTACCAGAAGACAGCATCTCTTATTTGGGATCCATTCCTCTATTTAGCTATGCTTTAGCTGAATTTTATAATTAGTGTCAGAAGAGATAAATTCGATACTTAAAGAACTGTGAGATATAATTCACATAGTGCAGAGATTTGGGAGCTGATTTAGGTCAAATCAGTG